ACCAAGTTATTTAACATATTGCGTGGAATTGCCTTTGGTGATCTGCAACCATGGTACATTGTGCTCTGCTCTTCAGACTGTGGAGTAGCAAACGGGAAAACATCCAAACACGGATGGCACTAACCTTATTTTAGAGAAATTGAAGTCAGTCAGCTGAAAAAAATCCAACTAAGCTCTTTCTAGGTCCTTTTAGAACAGTCACCCTGGGGATTCAGTTGCTAGCTACTAAGTCATAAGTGAAGGTTGGATGAAACCATTGACAATCATATTCTGTGCATTGTGACAGTGCTATGCCTTGTCAAAAGGAAAGATCCATAAGCCGCACATCAAAGGCAGACCTATGTGCATTAGGTGAGATGAATGGCAGCCTCAGCCTGGACTCCAGCCAGGCCATGCCTCGTGGCCTAGCTAGAGTGCGGGCTAAGGCTGTGTAATGCCTATGAAATGTGTTGGCCTTGGACCCTTTGTTTCTTGGGTAATTTTTACAATAAAGCATTGTTGCCCAAATGACAGGGGCATGAGAGGTGACTGATGTGTCTCTTTCTCTAGGTCAAAGGAACAAAGTCACAAGATATTCTGCTGAGAGCAAGATAAATACTTGTTTATGGAAAGAAACGTGCTTATGACATCTAGTAACCTCACATTAGGAGACAAAAAAAACCTGTTTAAGGACATCTAAGTTAGAAATCCTTAAGTCTGGGGGAGATGAAAAGAGGTTTTGGGGTAGATAAGAAGGAAAAGTGTGACTTTTCAGATAACGAATATGGTGGTTGAACGTGACTCTGTTATCCTCGAGGAACCCTTCTGCTAGCTCCTGTGGTGGGTATGGCGCCACCCACTATTGGACATCTTCCAGAAAATGGGTTTATATGGAGGAAGTCTGGGCGAGACCAGTAGAAGTCCCCCCTTCCCCTTTAGTGGCCAGAGGATGCTCTGACGCTGGGATTTTTGCCAAGGCTATATGGGCTCATCGACTGGTCGCGTGCCTGCGGCTTCTCCATTACCCCCCGGGCAGTTTGGTTCTGATGGGATTTGTTCCTCCCAGCTTCCACATAGCTTCGGTAATGTATTAATTCTATGCTGTGACGCTGTCCAATGATGTGTCTATTTCATGCTGTAATGCTCACATTATTATTGGTGTGTGTTATTATGCAGATTGTGATGACTATAAGATATATCCTCCTGTGTCGTGTGATAATAAAAGTGAAGGTTTTGACAGTGCAAGAATATTGCAGTTGGATTTTGTTATTTCTTGGAGTGCCGGGTGAATGCTATGATGTGCCAGGGCAGGTATTCATTTGGTAGTTGGTCTTTCACAATGCGTAGGACATGTAATGGTTTAAATGCTGATTAAAAGGTACCTGCATGACTACATGTTGATTGTGTGTGTGTATATGACTTGTTTTTAGTTATTGCACCCAGCATTTTTTATTACAGGCTGCCATTCATCTCACCTCATGCACATGGGTTTTCCTTAGATGTGTGGCTTATGGATATTTCCTTCTAACATTGCTGCAGCTTGGAGCTAGGATGAGCTCCTTATCCCTGTCAGCGGTCTAGTTTGGACTTCACCTCCCTACCTGAGCAGTGCTTAATTTTGTCTTTTTGGGTCACAGTGCTATGCCTTGTCATGGTATCTGCTGCTGCTAGACTCATACACCTTACCAACCGATCAGCGACTGCTGCCCCTCTCTGTCAATCTCTTCACTGGCTTCCACTAATCCAACGTATAAAATTCTAAATACTAACCACAGCTTACAAAGCCATCCACAACACTGCCCCTAGCTACATCACCAACCTCAACCACAGATATCACCCAAATCGCCCACTCCGCTCCTCCCATGATATCCTCCTCTCTAGCTCCCTCATCACCTCCTCCCACGCTCGCCTCCAGGACTTCTCCAGAGCCTCTCCCATCTTCTGGAACTCCCTTCCACAGTATGTGCCCGGTCAGCCCCCACCCTGTCTGCCTTTAGGCGATCTTTGAAAAATTCACTTATTCGGGGAAGTCTACCCCACCTCCACCTAAGAACTGTGCTTGAATCACCTCCACCAGATAATCCTCCGCAGCCATCACCTTTTGTATCACCTCCCCCTTCCTTTAGATTGTAAGCTCCACGAGCCGGGCCCTCCTATTCCTTCTGTACTGAAATGTATTGTAATTGTATCGTCTCCCTTATATTGTAAAGTGCTGCACAAACTGTTGGCGCTATATAAATCCTGTATAATAATAATAATAATGGTATTAGAAGGGGTATATGTCACACAAGGTTCTCAATGGTGCAGGTTGAGAGGCTCCAGGATTGGTAACTCCAGAACTGGGTCCTGGAATCCGGAGAATTCAAAACTTTTCAAAGCCTCTGAACTCCAGTACCCAATCCAGGATTTACGAAATCAAATTACCAAACAAATGTAAAAACTGTTTTCTCCACTAAGAATAGCCATCCTGGAGCCCCACGACCTGCACCATTGAGAACCTTGTGACATATACCCCTTCTGATACCATGAAAAGGTGTAGCACTGTCACAGCTTGGATATAATGAGCAAGGCAAACAGCAGTGATGGCTTGCCAAATCTGACATTGTTGCAGCTTGGAGCTAGGATGAGCTCCCTATCCCTGTCAGCGGTCTAGTTTGGACTTCACCTCCCTACCTGAGCAGCACTTAATTTTGTCTTTTTGGGTCCCAGTGCTATGCCTTGTCATGGTATCAGAAGGGGTATATGTCACACAGGGTTCTCAATGGTGCAGGTTGAAGGGCTCCAGGATTGGTAACTCCAGAACTGGGTCCTGGAATCCAGAGAATTCAACCTTCCCAAGACTTTTCAAAGCCTCTTAACTCCAGTACTCAATCCAGGAGTAACCAGTCTAAACCAAATTGCCAACTAAATGTAAAAACTGTTTTCTCCACTAAAAATAGCCATCCTGGAGGCCCTCAACGTGCACCATTGAGAACCTAGTGTGACATATACACCTTCTGATACCATGAAAAGGTGTAGCACTGTCACAGCTTGGATATCATGATCCAGGCAAAGAGCAGTGATGACTTGCCAAATCTTATCAACCAATCAGATTTAATCTTGCTTTTTTGTAATTACAGTAGTTTGAAATATAACAAGTGAACTATTCTAAGAACTGTTTAGTTTGCTTCTATAAAATTAGAGCAGTTCATAGAATATCCACAAATAAAACCTCTTGCTTCAAAAAGTTGTATTGAAAGTTTATGTATCCCACAACAATTATTCAGTACATCTCACAATTGTAACGTACCTGGTGGTGGAGCCTGATGTGGAGAGAGGGTGTTCTCTCTCCACTCCTGTTTGGGACCCCTGATAGGGTAGACAGGAGGTATCGAGCTGGGAGGGACACGAGTGCCTGACGGGTCTGCGGTGACAGCTGCCATGTGAAGACCCGGAACACCAGGATGCAGGTACCATGATGCAAGTGAGCATGTGCAGCAGCAGAGAGGTGTAGTTGAGATGCGGATGACCATGGCAGCTGATAGCCAGAGGTAGTCACAGGCAGGAGAGGTAGAATAGTCAGGCAGGCAGGGTCATGATCAATCGAACAGATCAGGTACAGAGGAATAGACAAGCGGATAGTCAAAGGGAGAGCCGGGTCGGTGCAGGCGGAGTTCAGTCATAGTCAGAGTCAAGCAGGTAGATCACAGGATTCTGTTAGGGATCCGGGTATGACCAAAAATGTGTGGACTGACACAGGGAAGTAGCAGGCTTCAGGAACACAGGCGTAGTCAGGCTGGAGAGGTGGAATGGTCAGGCAGGTCGTAAGGTACTGTCAGGTGCCGCCTGGCAGTGTCTCTAGCAGCCCACAGCACGGATTTCCTCAGGGCGCGGGGTCTAAGTCCCAGCCTGCTATTCACCAGGGCCCCTGATAGTGGGGATGGACTTGGTGCAGACTGGAACCAGGTCGCGACCCCTGAGTGCGTCCGGCTGTGGTAGAGAGTACTGGCAGGGGAGTGCAGGAGACGGTCAGCAGAGGTCAGGATCAAGCAGGGTCAGCATTGAGGCAGGAACACAGGATACCAGGTACAGGGGCTCATGGGAAACATACACCAAGGCACTGATCACAGGCCTGGTCATTCCTTAAATACACCTCCTGCAATCAGCCCCAGGTGTTGCTGACTACAGGAGTGAGCTTCTGGCTGTTAAGAGCACCCGCTGGTAAGCCCTGGTACTGCAGCCCACACGGCAGGTGAGTCCCACCACCAGTGCTGAGTCCATTCCTGACAGATTCAGGATACAGATATAGCACGCAGTAGACCAGAAGGCACCATTCTGTTTGCAGCAGGGGTTTAAATAGCCCACCAGTGCAGTGTGCGCATGCGCACCGGCACGGCCATCGGGAACCCCACGTTGGCGCACAAATGTGCGCAGATGCAAAGCTCTTCTTCCCTGACACAATACTGTACATGCAAATTTCTCATGTGCATATATTGTGAGATGTACAGAAAAATACTTGTGGGTCTACCAGAAATCAAATGAGCTTCTAACATACAGTGCAATGAAATCCCAATCTGTGTTATGCACCTTGCTCTTTTCTCCCCAGCCGGAAGGGGGAGGTGTTCTGTAGTCTTGTCCTATGATTACAATCTAACTCTATAGGTAGAGTACAGTGAGTAAGAACTGTCACCCTACGACAGGAAGTGTTTTACTGGCAGAATCAGCCAGTGGAAATAAAGGATAAAATAGGTGAGTAAAGAAAACAAATGCAGTCACCACAACTAAGGATGCGTAAGCAGCAAGTTTATTACATTTTTGTTCTTTAGATTAGATACATTGTAAACAAGGGAATAACAGAATTACGTAGTTTAGTCTCCAATCATGTTGCAGATCACCTGTTCTGTAAAATATTAAACATGTGGTGGGATTGTATCTGTTTGAAGCAATGGTGAATGTATTTGTCTGCAGTTGAGTCTCCCTGGATGATGTAGGCAGTGACCTGCAAACACTTTATAATTGATGTGTCTTTTAATATTTTCCAGAGCTCGCAAGGAGTAAGAATGACCTCATCTCCAAAGCTCGGCTAAAAACACTGAAGATGACGCTGGTTATTGTGGTATCTTTCATGGTGTGTTGGACCCCTTACTACCTGTTGGGAATATGGTATTGGTTCCAACCAGAGATGATCCACCTGACTCCCGAGTATATCCACCACAGCCTGTTTCTCTTTGGCCTCCTGCACACCTGCACTGACCCTCTGGTTTATGGATTATACACCCCTTCATTCAAAGAGGATTTGCGCACATGGTTTAGGAGACTTGGAGGTTTGCTGACAAGGAAAGCCAAGGACAGCAAGCCCCTTGCAGACTCTGAGATGAACATCAAAGACTTTACCTCCATGGATGGGCCAACAACTACTGCCACCACAGTACAGTCTGTCTTTTGAAACCAGTTTTGCCCACTTTGAATTTTCACTGTGCGGCTGTCTTCAAAATCTAGAAAACATATGAGATCTATTTTATCAGGTTGTTACATCCTTTATTGAATAAGAAAAGTTCTCAGGTTGCTAATCTCCAGAATTCTTTCATCTCGAAATAGGATAAGGCTAGCCATACATGCTTAGATTTTTCTTGTTCTGCCCCACAGGATCATTGAAAAAAATCAGTGAATTCCCCATCCACGCTAAACAGCATCAGGAATCTACACTGCTGGCATTGTATCCAAAGGAATATTAAAGGCTTAATTACAAAAACATATCATACCAGGGGTGGACTGACAACTCATGGGGCCCCTGTCTACTTGCCCACACCCAAAAAAGCCTACAAAAAGGTACCAGGGGCATTTCATGGGGCCCCCTACTGACCCCAGGCCCTCGGGCAGTGCCCGAGTGCTCGAATGGTCAGTCCGCCCCTGCATCATACTTACCTCCTCTCTGCAGTGGTTTTGCACAAAGCAGCCCAGATCCTTCTCTTCTCAGGTTCCCTGCTGGCTCTACTGGCCCCTCCCTCCCTTTGGGTGCCTTCACAGCAAGCAGCTTGCTATGGGGGCACCCTCGGCTCCGTGTGTCTATTCACACACGTAGCTGTGGCTTGGCAACACCCCCCTCTCTCTTCTCATTGGCTCACTAGCTGTGATTGACAGCAACAGGAGCCAATGGCTCTGCCAATGAGGAGAGGGAAAGTCCTGGGATTGCCGTAACTCCATGCACATTGAGAAGGGGCTTATGTGAGTATCTGGGGGGCTGGGGGAGCTGCTGCAGAGGGAAGGTTTTCTTACCTTCATGCACAGAATGCATGAAGGTAAAAAAACCTTGAGCCTTTACAACCACTTTAAACAGCCGGAGCACCCATAGCTGCTTGAATACCCAAACAGTGACTGCATCTAATTGGATACGGCCAACAATTTTCTGTCCAGCTTCTTCGAAAATTCATATTGACCATTGTTGAGCTGTGCATGACCATCTTAAATCTACCTGCCAATCTTGGGAGGCGTAGCTATTCACCTGTGTGCATCACCTTAAAGAAAGGTCTATAAGAGTGTATCAGTTGTTCATAAATGGGGAAAACCATGTTGAAGCTCACAAAAAACACAAGCTGACAACAGCACACTCCAAAAGCTACTACATTATTATTATTATACAGTATTTATAAAGCGCCGATAGTTCGCTCAGCGCTGTACATTACAAAGGGGGACAGAACATGTGACAGAACAATACCAATACAATGCAAAACATGAGGGGATTGAGGGCCCTGCTCTTTCGAGCTTACAATCTAGGAGGGAGGGGATGGTGGCAGAGGAGGAGATAGCTGTGGGGGATGGAGTGGTAGGAAGAGTGGAGGAGGCCGGCAAGTTAGCAGGGGGTGGGGTAGGCTTCCCTGAAGAGATGGGTTTTCAGGGTGCGCCTAAAGGAGAGGAGAGTAGGTGATAATCTGATGGGTTGGGGCAGGGAGTTCCAGAGGATGGGTGACACCCTGGAGAAGTCCTGGAGGCGGGCATGGGAGGAGGAGACCAGGGAACTAGAGAGAAGGAGGTCTTGTGAGGAGCGGAGTGTGCGTGTTGGGTGGTACTTGGATATTAGGTCGGTGATGTAGTTCGGGGCAGTATGGTGGACAGCTTTGTACGTCAGTATTAGGATTTTGAATTTGATCCGTTGCGCAATCGGAGGCCAGTGGAGGGATTGGCAGAGGGGGGTGGCGGAGATGGAGCGGTTGGAAAGGTGAATTAGTCTGGCAGCCGTATTCAGGATGGACTGAAGCGGGGATAGCCAGCGGCGAGGCAGGCCAATGAGGAGGGAGTTGCAGTAGTCGAGTCGTGATATGATGAGGGAGTGGATGAGCTGTTTAGTGGTTTCTGGGGTTAGGAACGTGCGGATTTTGGCGACGTTGCGGAGGTGGAGTCTGCATGAGTTTGTTAAAGATTGGACTTGGGGCTGGAAGAATAGGTTGGAGTCCAGAATGACACCAAGTACTCTGGCCTGCGGGGCGGGTTTGATGGTGGTGTTGTTGGATGTGATGGAGAAGTCAATGGGGGGTGGTGTCCGGGATGGGGGGAAGACAAGAAACTCGGTTTTGGAGAGGTTCAGTTTGAGGAAGTGGAGCGACATCCAGTCTGATATGTCGCTCAGTAGGTGTGTGATTCGGGCAGAGACTGAGGGGGTGAGGTGGGGGGTTGAGAATTAGTCTCTCTCAGACAAATTCCAGTGTTTGTGCTGTTATTGGCTTGTGTTTTTGTGAATGAGGGCACTGCTCCCCAGCAGCTGTCAATCATGCAACTGAAGTCACAGCTTAAGTCACATCTGGAGGCTGTGGGAGGCTGAAGGCTGTAGAAGGAACTGTGGCAGGTTGTGAGCTTAGTCACATTGTCAGATTGCAAAAAAGACACAAGTCCATCTAGGTTGTAGTTCAACCAACTTTCTAGCGGGGCCGGATCTAGGGGGGTGCTAGACAGCAGACAGTCCCATCAGGAGGGAGGGCTGCTGGAGACACCCCCCCCCCCACACACACACACACACTAAGCTAATACACATAAACACACACATCCCATAATAGTTTGCTCCCAAACAATAGAACAATGGGATGAAACCACATAACATCAATCAACAACCCCCACCCCAATATTAGGACAGAACACCGAGTACCCGGAGGAAACCCATGCAGACACAGGGAGAACATGCAACTCTAGGCAGGTGGTGCTGTGGTTGGGATTTGAACTGATGACCCTAGTACTGCCAGGTGGAAGTGCCAACCATTTATCCACTGTGCTGCCCATCCCCAATGGTCATGCATTTTTCTTCCGCTTCTGGTAACGCAATAATGGAGGAAAACAAGATCAGTGTGAAAGGGCCCCGCAACAACCCACCTACTGTATATCAGGGCAGGGGCGGACTGACAATTCATGAATTGAGGCCCCTGGGCAATAGGGGATCATGGGGCCCCTGTGTCCTTGCCCAAACTCAAAAAAGCCTATGAAAGGTACCAGGGGCATCTCATGGGGCCCCTACTGACCTCGGGCCCTCGGGCAGTGCCCGAGTTTCTAAATGGTCAGTCCACCCCTGTATCAGGGGTATAAGCAGGCATTTTTTTTTTATTTAGTTTGTTTCTACAAAGTAAGTTAAAAAGTTGGCCATTTCATGGGCTGAACCAGGGGCAGACTGACAACTCATGGGGCCCCTGGGCAATTGGGGATCATAAGGGCCCCTGTGTCCTCACACACACTCAAACCACACCCAAAAAAAGCCTATGAAAGGTACTAGGGGCATCGTATGGGGCCCCTATTGACCCTGGGCCCTCAGGCAGTGCCCGAGTGCCCAAATGGTCAGTCCACCACTGGGCTGAACAGAAAGCAGCCTGTAAGCCCAGAAGAAGGCCGATATCCACTTTATGTAGGTAAAAGGAGGAAAATCTGCTGCTAATAACAAGATACCTGGAAAGAAGCTTTTTACTTTTTCTGTTTGTCTCTCATGGGTGAGCCTAGCTCTGGAAATGCGTTCTTTTTCTCTGAGAGTCCAATTAGAGTAATTACCGGAACCTTATCACAATTCTCCACTGAACATTTTCCAGATACTGAGTTCTATATATACACATACATGCCCTTCCTGGCCTTCTCTGTGAATTATGTTTATTACGTTGGTGCATGTAAGAATGTTTTTTTTTTTTTATCTGTTTGGCGCATGAAATGAAATGAAATCTGAAGTCACACTGTCATATCTCAGAGATCCCTGGGGTCTAATTGGCACAAGTAAAGTATTTTTGTATTCACTAAGCAAACTTAAATCTACTGTAGTGTTTTCTTGGATGATGTGAGCAACAGAATACTGTGACAATTATACGTATATCAGAAAGTAGTTTACAGTAATGGGTATTAAGTACTTAGCGAGAGTTTTCATGAGAACAATCCTGGTAAGCGACTACCTTGGTCTGAACAGGGTTAACATGGACTGCGGTCGCGGCTCAACTCCCACTATGGGGTTATACCTAAAGCAGGGCTGACATGTAGGAAGCACCACAGAGGACACACAGACACCTCCTCAGCTGGCCGCTGCACACAAAGCCGCATTGAAGGTACAACGGCACCCTCTCTCTTTCACCAGCTGGCACACTGTGACAGCCAAACAGTCCCACTCTGTAGCGGCGGTGGATTGGGATGTCTCTTTGCTGGACAAGATTCCTCTTTGCTGGACGAGCTGTTTCTTTGCTGGAAGGGATGTCTCTTTGCTGGATGGGATGTCTCCTTGCTGGATTGGGATGTCTCTTTGCTGGACAGGATGCCTCTTTGCTGGACATGATGTCGCTTTGCTGGGTTGGGATATCTCTGTGTTGGACAGGATGTCTCTTTGCTGGGATGTCTCTTTGCTGGAAGGGATGTCTCTTTGCTGGATGGGCTGTCTCTTTGCTGGATGGGCTGTCTCTTTGCTGGATGGGCTGTCTCTTTGCTGGATGGGCTGTCTCTTTGCTGGATTGGGATGCCTCTTTGCTGGATGGGATGTCTCCTTGCTGGATTGGGATGTCTCTTTGCTGGACGGGATGTCTCTTTGCTGGACGGGATGTCTGTTTGCTGGGTGGGGATGTCTCTTTGCTGGACTGGGCTGTCTCTTTTCTGGATTCCCATCTAACAAAGAGACATCCCCATCCAGCAAAGACATAGCCCAGTCCAAGAAGGGACATCATATCCAACAAAGACATCCCAATCCAGCAAAGAGACTGCCCAAACCAGCAAAGAAACACCCCAATCCAGCAAAGAGACATCCTGTTCTTTGTGGATTAGGATGTCTCTTTGCTGGATGGGGATGTCTCTTTGCTGGATTGGCATGTCTCTGTTTTATGGGGATGTCTGTTTGCTGGATGGGGATGTCTCTTTACTGGATTGAAATGTCTCTTTCCTATAAGGGGATGTCTCTTTGCTGGATTGGGATGTCTCTTTGCTGAATATATAGGGGACACTGTGATT